AAAGCTCCAACAGCATCATGCTTTTGAATGAAGTATGTGTCGTAATTACAAATATCATGCATGATTTTTTGGAACAAATGTGGCTGCATTCTATATCTTTCTCGAAACTTAGAAGCAGAATATAACGAATTTGGGATAAAATAATCCTCCATGAGATTTTTACCCCGAGACTCCCTACGTCTGTCTACATTCGGGGCACGACGACGACGTGTTGCCTTGATTGATCCATCATACACACCGCTGCTGCAAGCAGCTGTTCCTCTTCTTCATCGGCGTCCCGATCTTCTTGAGCACGTCTATGCCGGATTTCTTCCCTTTGTTTCTGTTGCCTCTCCAACACCCTCGACAAGTTTGACATTGAGAGTAGAATGTGTTTTCTAAAATCTGAGAAATGAAGGAATAGATAAGAGATGGTGTGAGAGGTATGAGTTGATGGTGTAGTTTTATAGAGGGATTTAGAAGATAGAGATGACACGTGGCACAATTTTAGAGGATGAAAATCTTATCTAAAATATGATATTATAATTTTTTAAAAATATCTGAAAATCTTATCTGACATTTGACACGTGGCACAATTGTAGAGGGTGAAAATCTCATCTGAAATATGAGATTATTAATTTTTAAAAATATCTGAAAATCTTATCTGACATTGGACACGTGGCACAATTTTAGAGGGTGAAAATTTTATCTGAAATCTGATATTATAATTTTTTTTTCAATATCTGAAAATCGTATTTGATATGGGACACGTGACACAATTTTAGAGGGTGAAAATCTTATCCGAAAATTTAATTACAAAAGATTATCAAAATTAATGATTTAAAGTATAAAAAAAATAGGAAATAAAGTACAATGAATAGTAATTGCCTTAGACTTGCCCTAGACTTTGCCCTTGTGGGTGGAATCACAAATGCAAAGGCTAATACTGTTCACGTAAATAATGACAGCCCTTGCTTGCCCTTGCCCTAGACTTTGCCCTTGTAGGTGGAGATACTCTAAGGGCAAATGAGTGGAGTTACTGTTAAACTTTTTGGGTGGACATGCTCTGAAGCAGGTTCTGGGCCCAAGAAATATATTTGGAACCACCATCAATTTTTGTCTGAGTTTCACAGACCTTGGTGGAGCCCAACTTAAGCCTCCTCGGTCCCCGTATAGGGTTTATGCCTGCAACCTCTCGCACCATACCAGTCACTCTCTTCTAAGCATCGGAAGCCATGGATGCACCAAGCTTATGTTAACCTAATCACGACCACAATGCCCAGATAACATCCTCAATTCCCTGAAATCATACCCCTAGCCCCAACAAAATGAGATATTTACGGTTCATTTCCCCACATTTTTCTAGTATTCACAAAACCCTATACCCCCAAAGCCCTAATCTTCTATCCTTTCTCCAATCGAAGCCCCAGATTTGTTCACATTTCGTGTGCAATTACACCACTGATGCACCGGAACAAAAACCACCTCCGTCCGAGACGGTGTCGGCGATCGCGGATGAGATCTCGGGCCTGACTTTGCTTGAAGTCTCGGACCTCACGGAGGTTCTGAGGGAGAAATTGGGCATAAAGGAGATGCCGGTGATGGCGATGATGATGCCGGGGATGGGATTTGGCGGCTTGAAAGGGGCCGGCAAGGGTGGTCCGACGGCGGCTAAAGGCGAGGAAAAGGTGGAGAAGACTGCTTTTGATGTGAAGCTCGATTCTTTTGATGCTGCAGCGAAGATCAAAGTGATTAAGGAGGTGAGGACGTTTACGAGTTTGGGGCTGAAGGAGGCCAAGGACTTGGTCGAGAAGGCGCCTACCCTGTTGAAGAAGGGGGTTACCAAGGAGGAGGCGGATTCAATTGTCGCGAAGATGAAGGAAGTTGGTGCCAAAGTTTCTATGGAGTGAGGTAATTTGTGCAATTTTGCTCATACGTTTTGTGAATTTGAATTTGATTGTGTGGTGTGGGTTATAGTGTGTGTAACTTAGTGACAAAGCCTCACGATTTGGTTCATTGTAGTGAAATGCTTCTGAAAACTAACTGGAAGCTGCTGCATAACGTAGATCATATTGAATATAAGTCCTGCATGGAGTAATTATAAATTCATTTTCGAACCAAATGAAGTTGTATAATTATTTGTTGTCAATGACCCTTACTGTCCTAAGGGATGACCCCAAAGTGACTTTGTAGGATGGGTGGCTTGAGACGAACTAACATTACATCTTCATACCGGAAAACTAAACAGTTGCCTTTTTCGAGAGAGTAAAACTCAGAGAACTCTGGCCAACCCTTTTCAAACTAAACCTTACCATTACATCTTCTGAGTTTGTTTTTCCATTCTGAACCACTTGGGAGCTTTAGGTGTAATTGATCAGATAGATGCTCTGTATATTTGTCCAGAAATGTCTTTGGCACCCTCCGCACAAAACAAAAGCTTGTCAAGCAGCTATTTGTTGCGCTTTGCCTCTTTCAGTTTTGAGTTACAGTGCTTTTTCAGTCTTCTTTTTTTGGGTAACCACTCTTATAACACCAATAGAAATTATATATATTTAGCTTAGTATCAGCATTGCAGGATAGTAAATGCAGCGTATGCTTTATTTCTCTGCCAATGTGAGCTTGGAGATGTAAGATGCATTTAACAAATTTTGATATCAATATTTCATATAGAATAGAATTCAGTCCAATTTCCAGGGATTTTTTGAGTTCCTATTTGAATGTCATAGTGAAATGATTTTGTGATAGGGGGACACAATTTGGATTTTCACCCTTCAACCTTAGAAAACTCACGTCCAGTTATGTGTTGGACCTGTAAATTATCATCAAAATTTATTAAGCAAAACCAGAATTTGGTATGTCTTATCTAAATTTATTATGCTTTTCTTGATGCAGAGGAGATGGCAAAGGATCATATCTGAGCTTTGTTTTATTCTGCATTTAGTTGTGTCATCTCAGCCAAAGTGAAGTACGCAGGGAGTTATGAAGGCTCTGCCTTCTACAAGCACTTAACATGAAAGAGGAAAAGCTTGTAGGGTTGTAGAAAACTGAGACGACTCATTGTGGAGATAGAAGGACAAAGCTGTGCCAAGTGACTTCAAGAGTATGATTTTGTTTGAATTTTGACCACAAGAAATGGTTTTGGTATATTGCATTATGACCAGATTGAGGCTAGTACTAACTAAACCATTGCCAAGCAAGGCATAAATTTTTCAGAAAAGCAGAGGCATGATGCAGAAATAATAACACCCACTCGGCCCTTTGGGAAGTCCAAATACAGCTGTACAACATTGGCCCAAAAAAATGGGGGTAGAGAATAAAAGGAACTTTTATTTATTTTTTTACAACAAGGCCTAGAAGGCCTAACAAAACATCCAACACAAAGATGTAATAACATCATCTAAATATGTGAACTTTATTGCAATCAAAGTGTTTAGGGTTAAGTAAACATGTCCCAAAGTTTTATTCAAAATTTCCATATTTTTCTAACAATTTCCATTCTTTTTATCTTATTTTTACTGCTATTGATATTTTCTCTATATGTCTGTCGAAATTTCCACATTTTTGGTCTATTGATATTTCCAAAATGACTGATATTTAATACCTTGTTCAGCACTCACAACTTAGGGCCAAACGTTCACAACTAGTTAATTCGAATTTTCACTGCTAGACAACACTGGTAAAATCCGACTACCTCTAAATGCATGCGGGGTCATCTCTAAGTTTCCTACAAACGAGAAAACAATTAGAAAATACATGAGCACGAATGCAAGCAATCAACATTATCTACTTCTAAATGCATGCAGGGTCATCTCTAAGTTTCCTACAAATGAGAAAACAATTAGAAAATACATGAGCACGAATGCAAGCAATCAACATTCTGTCCACAACCCCTATATTCCAGTCGATAAACGATGCAAGTGCCTCCTTCCGTTACGATGCGATACCATGTCAAACTCTGTACAGCAGCCTACATCACAAATCTTGCACCACCTGAGATGAGATGCCAAGTCAATCTCACCAGGGAAGTGCACATTACAAGTTTTGCACCACACACGATGATCCTTCATCCTTGGAGCTTCATTTGGGTTCTGTTGCTGGCCATGCACCTTTCCCTTGAGAGTTATTATAAGTTTCCTCTTCACTTCATTGCTGGATATACCCTCTGATGGCTCCTCAGCTGCTTGCACCTTTCGATTGATAATCACCTTGGGTTTTGATCCACAGCCCGGTACAGTGTTTTCTGGCTCATCTGCATGCCCCTTTCGACCGATAATCCACTTGGGTTTCTGGCTCATCTGCATGCACCTTTCTTTTGATAATCCACTTGGGTCTTGATCCACTGCTCAGTATACTGTTTTCTGGCTCCTCTGCTTGTGCCTTTCGAATTATAATAACCTTGGGTTTTAATCCACTGCTCTGTATACTGTTTTCTGGCTCCTCTGCTTGCACATTTCGTTTGATAATAATCTTGGGTTTTGATCCACTGCTCGGTATACTTTGTTCTGGCTCCCCTGCTTGCACCTTTCGATTGATAATAACCTTTGGTTTAACTCCACTGCTGGGTATACTGTTTTCTGGCTCCTCCGCTTGAATCTTTCGATTGATTATCCACTTCGGTTTTGATCCACTGCTCGGTATACTGTTTTCTGGCTCCCCTGCTTGCACCTCTCGATTGATAATAACCTTGGGTTTTGATACAATGCTCGGTATACTTTTTCCTGGCTCCTCATGCTTATCAGATTTAGCTAAGGCCATTCTGGGGACATGCCTGCCTCTTTGCATTCAGTGCCTCATGTGCTGCCTTGTGGATTCTTATTAGGTTGGAATTCAAAGTTGTTTTACTTGGAATTGTTACCTCAAGAGCACGAATCCACTCTTTAGGGACATTTTGGGAAGACTCAATAAGCTCTCTGCCTGCTTCGATCTCATCAGGGTTTACACTAGCCTCCACCGCTGCAAGCGCACCGTTTCCAATCTGAGTGAGCCTAGGCTCAGCCTGGTTCCTTGCTTTCGGTGCCTCAATTGCATTCTTGAGGTTTTTACTGTCTAGGTCGGAATTAAAAGTCCACCCCTTCTGGACTCTATTCAAAGGTGGAGTCTTCAGAATATTTCTATCTGCTACAACCTCAATGGCTTTTTCTTTAATCTCCATAGCGGCAAATTTGATGTTTCCAGTCCCAGTCAGATTATGCTTTGCCTGGATAACCAACAGATGCAATGAAAACAAGGTTCAAAAAGAACAATTGTTGTTGTATTGTTTACAACAATTCTCTACGATGAAACTATTTTCAATTCTTTTATATCAAAATTTGACCTTGCTCTCTCAAACTAAGCAAAAGGTGGAGCGAGGTATCATATCAGAAAGTATTACAATGATTCATTTAACAACCAAAACTGAATTGTGCTTTCCCACAGTTCAAAGCATTGAAGTAAGAATTCATGAATGCACCACGTGCATACACACGCAGGTATATTCTAGAACATACATTTACTTCACAGCGATATTGCATCTAACATAAAACATTTTCTTCACAAAAAAATTTGACTTACTCACCTTGCAAGCAACAATTCTTTCCAGAGCTTCAGGTCCATTCTCCTGTACATATCTCTCGAGCTCAGCAAGAAAGCTTTCTCTGATACACAACGACTCATTCCTCCGCTTGAACCAGCTGATAACAATTTGGGGTCCATGGTGAGGCATGGACAGATAAGGTGTTTATAGACATAAACAGCACCATCAAAATGAGGTATCACCAACCAGTAGACAATCATTATCCTAATGTATTGCCACAGCAGGAGCCTGACAGGTCAAGAATTGGCAAATGCGAAACATAAATAGACGAAACAGATACTGTAACCTAATAGCCTCCTCATGATCATAGCACATTGAAAAGTTGTAACAAATTTCAGCTATCAAAAAGAACCTAACTGATATTTTAACTCGATGGGGTATTTAGTTGCATTAAAAAGAAAAAAAGTAGAAGGTTTTTTTGTAGATGTTCCATGGAACTATGGACAATAAATGTGATGTAATATTTGGTGAAACAAATAGTCTGAAGCTGAAGGCACAAAATATGCCACAATCATTTTGAAAAAGAAAAAGAAAAACTTCAAAATTGTTTGTGAAACTCTCTGTTTCTTCTCAATAGTATGTATTTCATCGGTTTAAATGTACGTACGAAGAAATAAAAAGAGACATGGATGACCAAATCAATTGAGAAAATTCTGGGGGAAAATAAACAACTTTAGATCCACATTCCAGAAAGGATTTCAAAAAAATTTGGCTGCAAGTTCAGTTGAGTTTCTGTTTCCTACAATATTCGCGGTTCCGAATTTTAATTTCTTCCATTTAGTTAGAGACCGAAAAGAGCAATATGCAATTAAATAAAACAACAGCATTACCATTCAAGGAGCTTCAAGAAAGCATGTTCAAAGAGCAAAATCAATGAGAGGACAAGCCAATAAGTATTTAACATCTGAGTATCTGAAATGGAATTGTTCTCAATCGCCCTAACGGAACAACATCTGTCAAAAGAGAAAATAATCATCCTCATTGTATCAACATGAAAATAACAGTTTGTAAGTCTATGGAAAAAAATAAAAAAAATCCATTTCAAAATCAATAATTAAAGATCCCATTATTATTAACATCATCACTATTGTTTCTGGGGTAAAATACCCCAAGGCCGAGCTAGACCCAAACCCATAGTTGAGATGTGTTTCCACTTGTATTGGAAGACCATAAAGGCCAAGAACGAATTTGGGCCTAAGAGGACATTTTATCTCAGGCCGGACCTAAGATTGGTCGGCCGAAATGTGAGTCCAAGCTCAATCTCTACCTAGAAGTTGCAATCCCTAGGCACCATAACTCTCTTGAGGGTTTTGGAGGACGACCAGTGCCCGACCTCAATCTCGTCGGCAGGTCGACCTGACTATTGACGACAGGTCGACTTGACTCTTAATAAATTGTAATTTCGAAACCACACCCATTTTCCTTGCATTTTTACTCGAAAAAAAATTATGCAGAACATCAAAGTAAAAGATACTAAAGTGGACTCTACACACTGATGAAAAGAGCGTGTGTGTGTATAATATATATATACACGGAGAGCTTGTATTGAGGGATTCCTCAAATAAGCTTATTTGATGGACACCTTTTGTAGGGTCCACTCCGAATTGTATTTTACTCATTCAAACCGTCTATTTTGTACATACACATTCAAAGATCATCTCTACAAAAAATCACTTGAATATGATATCATTTGATCATTTAATTGAGTTATTGAAATTTTAGTACTTTTTTGAAGCACCGCGTGTTCATTGATTTTGTAAGACACAATTGGATATCGAAACGGATATATATTTACTTTTTTTGAAAAAGAAAACCTAGAGGTTTACAGAATATCTCTTCAGAAAGTTACAGATGTATGTGGGAGAGAGAGGCTTACAGAGGATACACCCAAGCAAGGAGAGGCCTGCAAAAAAAATCACAAACAACATGAAAACCTTATTATGTTAACATTAATTGTGAGAAAATTGGCTCAGCTCAACTCAACTCATTCTCGTATAAATAAAGATTTTTTATTTTTTATTAATAATAAAAAGAACGAAAGAAAAATATAAAAAAAGCATACCATGCAAGTAGAGTAGAGCGTTGAAGCGCAAATTCAAGAAGCACAAAACCCATCTTGGGCTTCAGCTTTTCTGATTGGAATTTGAAAGACTTGACGAAGGGAGACTTTGTGTCCGTACAGTGGGGAACTTAAAAACCTTAAACCTTAAACCTTAAAACCCAAGTTTCACTCTAGGGACTGGAGCGTCTTGCAGTCGCCTTCAGTAATTGTAATTTGTACGGTGCTTGCTAGTGACAAATAACCCTCCTGGTTTCATTTAATTACGAAATTGCCATGCTAGTGAAATGATATAAGCACAAAGCACAATACTCACGAAATAACCCTCCTCTGCATTTAGGTTATGTGAACTGTCTAAGAAGCCGAGTCAAAAATGGTAGACCAGTGGTTTTAGGTTTAAATTCCATGACACCCTTGTAGTGTGTGAATAAAAAACTCCCTCTTTTTGTAGTATAGACTATCACTTGTATTAAAAAAAAGAGGTTAAGTGATTTGATTTAGTATAACCGAATTTTTTGAGATATGCAATATTGGGGATTGGAAATTTGAATACAGAATCTCGGGTACATAAGTAACTGCTCTTAAATACATGAGCTTCAAACCCTTTGTGATTGAGTAGATCGTGTAATCTTAAATAACTTGTTTATTTATTTTCTTCATAAGGCTTACCTTGTTTACTAAACAGGTTAAAAGGTTCAGTCATCTCATGCGATTAGCATAACACAATTATTAGTGCATTACACAAATTGTGCCATGTTACTCGTTTTATAAACCGCTAACATGATTTGGTTAAACTCGTCATAGCTTAACATGACAAGAACACGACCCATTGATACAAATTCCCACCCCTACAAAACACAGAGAGAACCCAGCCATTTTGTTTTTTTTGTGTCAGAAAAACGCTTCTCTAGGTCCAAGCAATGTCCTTCAAGTTTCCTACAAAGAGAAAGACAGAGCAGAAAGAAACACAAGCACACATCTCTCAAAATAGGATCTTGGTGAGTTATGTGAACTACCAACTCTATCTCTCCACAATCTGCATTCTAGTTGATAAACGCTCCCAGTGCTTCCTTCGACTAAGATGAGATGCCATGTCAAACTCAGTATAGCAGCTTACATCACAAACTTTGCACCATAGAGGGGGATCGTTCTTCCATTGCACTCTATCTGCATTCTGCTGTTGTTCCTGCACTTTTTCCTTGTGCTTCTTCCCATTAAGATGAGATGCCAAGTGAATCTTACCAGAGCAGCCTACGCTACAAATTTTGCACCATAGAGGTGGCTCATTCTTCCTTGGATTCTGCGGTTCTTGCACATTTTCCTTGTGCTTCCTTCCATTGAGATGGGATGCCATGTTAATCTCAGAGCAGCGCACATGACAAATATTGCACCATAGAGCTGAATCATTCTTCCTTGGAGCCTCATTTGCATTTTGTTGTTGTAGTTCTTGCACATTTTCCTTATGCTTCCTTCCATTGAGATGAGACATCAAGTCAATCTTACCACTGCAGCCCACAAGACAAATATTACACCACAGACGAGAACCCTTCATCCTTAAAACTATATTTGGGTTCTGTTGCTGGCCTTGCACATTTTCCTTAAAATTTATAATAATGTTCCTTTTGAGTCCATCGCTGGATACACCCTCCGCTGGCTTCTCTTTAGATTCATCAGAAGTTTTCATAACTGAAGCTGGAATACTATTTTCATGGCCTTGCAGCATTTCATTAATAATAACCTAAGGTTTCCTCTCTTCCAATTCCGGATCCAAAGTTGCTTCACTTGGAGTCGTTACCTCACACAGAGCACGAGTCAATTCTTTTTGGACTTCTACTGAAGACTCAAGAACTTCTCTACCCGTTGCGACCTCCATAGTCTTTACTTTAGCCTCCATGGCCGCAAATGTCCTGTTTTCAATCTGAGTAAGTGTGGGCTCTGCCTCGCTCTTTAATTTTAGTGCGTTATATGCAGCCTTATGTTTTTGACAGTCTAGCTGGGAATTAACAGTTGTACCACTTTGTGTGGTTACCTGACTGATGGCACAAGTCCATTCATTCTGGGATTTCTTTGAAGGTGGAGTGTTCAGAACTTCTCTATCAGCTGCGACCTCCATGGCTTTTTCTTTAGTCTCCCTAGAAGTATATTTGCTGTTTTCAGTCCCAGTGAGATTAGGCTCCGCCTGACTAACCTACAAATGCAATGAAAATGAGCTTCAAAAAGAAAATTGTTGCTCAATTGTTTCCACTCTTTACGGCTGAAGCATTAGTTCAACTAACATCATCATAGTATCCGATATTTAATATCTTTCTTCACCAAATTTTACCTACTTACCTTGCAAGCAATAGTTTCCAAAGCTTCAGGTACATTCTCCCTTACATATCTCTCCCCCTCAGCACAAAACAGCAACTCCTTCCTTCGCTCGTTGAACCAGTTGGTAACAATTTGGGAGTCCATGGTGAGGCATGGACAGACAACGTGTTTATAGACATAAAAGGCACCATCAAAATGCGGCATCACCAACCAGAAGACAATCATTATCCTAATGTATGGCCACAGTGGTAGCCTGACATGTCCAGAATTCGCAAATAGGAAACATAAATAGATTAAACCAATATTGTAACGAAATAGCCTCATTATAATAGCATATTGAAAGCCTGTAACGAATTTCAGCATTTTATCCAGAAGGACTTCAACTGATGTTTAACTAGGTAGATTTTAAATTTCTATAATTCTGAACACACAAGTGGAAGAAAAGTTTAAAAAGAGAAGGATACGAAACGAAGTTTCCTTACAGACATATTTTTCTGAAAAACATGAGTGATATGTGAGATTTGGTGGAACAAATACAATCTGAAGCTGAATGACAAATTACATGTATCTGATATTTTGAAATGAATTAGAAAAAAGCAATGAAAAGAAAATTTGAAATAATGCTATACTTTTAGGCATGTCTTCATCCGCATCTAAACAGAGCGTGGTTTCTTCACATCGTCTGTGGAACTATTACAACTAAAAATAAGAAAATTTGGCTGAAAATTGAACTGATTCTCTTTCCTACAATATCAATCGTTCAAATTTTGATTTCTCTTATGTACTTGGCAAACAAAAAGAGCAATTTATGGAATTAAATAAAACAGGAGAATTACCATTCTAGGAGCTTCAAGAAAGTATTTTGAAAGAGCAAAATCAATGAGAAGACAACCCAGTAAGTATTCAACTTCTGATTATCCGTAATGGAATTCGTTTCAATCGCCTTAATGGAACAACATCTGTCAAAAAGGAAAACAATCATCAACGAATACACCATCATCATTGTATCAACATGAACAATACAGCCTTAAGCCTACGGAAAAACCCCATTTCAAAATCTTTAAATCAAAGGTCACATTATTATTATCCTCATCATATCATCATGATCAAAATAACTATAAAGATACACATATAAAATAGAACTTTTTACAGAGTATCTCATCATCAGAAGAGCTAGATATGTATGTGTGGAAGAGAGGCTTACAGAGGATAGACCAAAGCAAGGAAAGGCCTACAAAGTAAATCACAAACAGCATGAAAACTTATCGTATTCTGAGAAAATTTGCTCAACTTAATGCTCAGAGTCAGAGAGAGCATACCATGCAAGAACATCAAAGCATTGAAGAAGAGAAATTCCAAGAAGACCCACAAAACCCATCTTGAGTTTCAGCTTCTCTGTCCTCTGGGATTGGAATTTGAAAGTCTTGGAGAAAGAAAGACCCCTTGTGAACCAAATAAAGATTTGTGTCCGTACAGTGCCTTAATGAGTAAGATTCACTAGGACTGGAGAGTCGACTTTTCGCTTTCTCCCTTTTTTTTCCTTTAATTGTGTGAGGAGGGGAATTCGACCTTGAATTGAGTTTTAGTACAAAGAAACGGAAGAGCCAAAACCATTTAAAAAAGCTTTTGGGAGAACTAAAACCATTTATGATTGTGTTTTGAAGAAAAATTTAAGGGCCGTTTGGTAACGTTTTCAAGGCCCCGTTTTTATTTTCTACTAAAAATGTGTTCGTATGTCATTTTTATTTTCACTAAAATGCGTTTTCTGAAAACAAAATCAAGTTCATGTACAAAAACTGAAAACATCACATTTTCATTTTCATTTTCTACCCAGTGTATTGGTTTGATTGCTTTTTTTTTTCATTTGGTATGATTTTTTTTTTTTTTTAAAAAAAAAATTCAGTTTTTTCGCTCCACTTCATTATTTTATTTTGCTACACTAGTGTATATTAATTTTAAGATAAAATCATCATATATTATTCAATTTCATATTTATTTTAAACTAAAGATAATATAATTTTATAATTTTATATATTAAAACAGAAATTAGCAAAAAATTTACTTCAAACATTATTATTATTCTCAAATTTTCCTACCTGACATGTTTTCACTATTTTTATTTTCTGAATATGTTTTTCAATTAATCTACCAGACGCATTTTCGAATCCTAAAAATGCAAATTCGTTTTCTCGTTTTCATTATCATAAACTATTCTTAGAAAACATTCTCCGAAAACGTTATTGAGCGGGCCCTAATAGAGTGTATGCATCATAAAAATGCTTTCTAAAAAAGAAGCGTTTTTTGAAAAAGTACTTGTCAGATTTCGAGGAACCACTTGATACTTGGATCTTTAACAAAAATTTCAAAGCACTAAAAATTAGCATAAGTGCTTATTATATAAACATTCCCAAATGGGCCAAAAAGATTTCATATTAAGGATTGGTTAAGGAAAATATTTGGCAAAAAAAAAAAAGACTTCTAATATCAGCCTTTCTGCCCTTCCTATCTATCACAATAGGGAACTTCCTATTGATTTTAAACCAAAGCTTCCTTTGTGAAGTAATTAAGAAAAAACGAAAACATCTTACCCAAAAAAAAATACTACTACACATATGGTATTATTGGAGTATTTTAATCCAGAATTTGACTATTGTCTTTTCCTCTCTATATTCAATTATCATAAGCCGAGTAGAAACCTAATCTTGGAAATAAAGCGAAAGAGAGATGCTAATTTTCACCTGCATGTGAACTACTTGCACCCAGAAACATGAATTTTCTTAATTAAAAGAAAAAACACATTATAATTTTCTACTGGAGTTGTGAATAGTTTACTTTAAAGAAGACACATAAATAAAACTATATATTTTCTTGAAATACTTACTAGGTTTTTCATTAAAAATAAAATAAAATAATTTAACATAATTTAACTCTTACAACCAACAGTAAGCTTCGGTTGAGGGATTCCTCAAATAACTTATTTGAAGGACACTCTTGTCACCATACAATGTATTTCATTAACCCAAACCGTCTATTTTATAGATATTCATTCAAATATCATCTTTGCAAAAAATCAATTAAATCCGATATCATTTGACTACTCAATTAAATTATTGAAATTTTAGTACTTTCTTGAAGCATTGTGTTCATTAATTTTATATGACACAATTAGATGTCTAAACAGTTTCCGATTTATCAATGAAGACCTAAAATATAGATGGTTCGGATCATTGGAAAAAAATATTTGAGGGATCCCTCAATAAAAGAGGATGGTACAACCAATACGTGAAAAATATTACGTTTAACTTTCAATCAACCATCTCAAAAATATAAGACTTTACAGATATTAGAACTTCCATACACGTGAATCAAGAACTAATCTTGAATAAATAAAAATTAAAAATTAAAAAGAACCAAAGAATAATGAACAAATAATCAAGAGTACAAGTGTGCTAGTCGTCCGATACGAATCAAAAGTCAATAATATTAATAATAATCAACGAAAGCAGTGCATGTAATCTCTAATACTCCTTGAAATTCTCCAGCGACTTATGGAAGTCTTCGGCAGTACATCGAAGCACAAGAGGCCCTTCAATCTTTGGATCCAACACATCGGTTTGGGACTTCTCGATGAGTTTTTGGAAAGCTGGACGCGAGAGATACTTCAGAGGAACTTTGTATCTCTTTCCTTCGACGTACACGGGTATATGACCTTTCGGAACTACTCCATGCTTCTTAGAGTGTGATTTGCATAACTTGTTGATGAAAAACATGAGTTTTTCTTTGACGAGACTTGCAGGATTCATGGTAGGTATATGATCAATCAAAATATTATGGGATTTGATAATGAAAGAAGGAAGGTCTTCTACAGAGGCTTGTACTGCGTAAAAGAGACCAAATGAGAGTTTGGAAGAAATGAGAGTTTAGGGCAAGAATATATATATTGAGTTTTGGAAACTTGGAGGGTTTGCGTGTAGCTTACGTTTTAAGCTAGGGTTATAGGTAGCTTCAGGCTACTCTCGCATGCTATATATCAATTAGTTAACCAAGTTAAGTTTTCGGCAGACCTTGTTAATCATTGGATTAAACCATATTCCATGGCTGAGATCGTATAGTGGATATTTTTGTAATGAAAACTTAATTGTCTGGAGAATACAAATGCTACAAATTTTAAAGTTTTTTTTTTCCCGTCCAATCTCACCTGACATTGTAAAAAATGATCTTTTCCCCTTCAAACTTATTTTGTCTTGCCGCTAGTAACAATATTTAGCTTTCGTGGCTTCCTTTGGTGTTTTTATTTTCCAATAGATTAATCCAATTAGATTGATTAGGTTTTTTTATTTTATAAATTTGGCTTTTCTTTTCCAATAGATTAATCCGCACATGCCGATTGGCTTTTGTCTTTTTTCTCTTC